CGGCAGAGCTGCAGCCGTGTCCTTATGCGCCACCAGGTCCCGGAGGTCCGAGCTGCCTGGCCTCTGCCGTCCTCTTGCGAGCGTTCACTGAAGGGCACTGGCCGGGCCCCCTCGCGGCGCTTTTGAATGGGCCATCCTCCCCACCCCCGAGTGACACCCAGCGGAAAAGGCGGCTCCTGGCGCCCGCACCGCGGGGAAAAGCCCAGCTCGGCAAGGCGCTCGGCTGCCGGCGCACGCCTCATTAACTTGGGGCCTTCCCAAAGCCGCGCGAACACGCCCCCAGCGCCCCTTGCTCCGCCCCTCGCCACCCACTCACTTCCGCACTTTTTTGCCTGCAAGACGGCACGAACCGAGCCCCGGAAACTCTTCTCCACCCTGGGCGATAAGAGGGCGCCCCTGCTGCCCAGCGATGAATGCCGATGCCCAGAGGGTGCTGAAAGGTCGTCCCTACTGTCCCGCCTCTCCCTGCCCAGTGGACCGCTCTGTTGACAGCCCGAGTGCGCAGGGAAGGCAGGCAACAGCTGCAAGACAGTGCTTGGGATACAAAGCTGTCTAACCTCGGGTTGAAGATCCTATGGGACCAGTGTGGGATCACGAGCTGCCAAGTCCCTTGCAAGTATCTTCCTCAGACCCGTACGTAAACATTTCTGTTTACAAATGTTGAAGGCCGAGAGAACGTCTGTCTTTTCTTCTTGGCCGTTGAGTTGCTCCTCTTGGAGCAGTAAAGGGCTCTCTTCAGGTCGCATCCTTTTTCTCGATCCAGGAGCTCAGGCACTAGCCGATCTGCTCCACCTGGACCACAAGCTCTGTTGCTTCCTTCAAGACCTGACCGTAACAGCCTGCAGTGTCTTTCAGAAGTTACTTAGCTAACTACAAACCCGGGGAATGTCAGGTACTGTAAGATCCCACATTTCAAGGAATAGCCTGGCCCTCCAACTGCCTGGTCAGCCTTGAGTCCCTTTCTACAAAGGTATAATGGGCCCAATCTGTCTTGGAACCTATGTGACCCGGGAGGGGAAGGTAGAACCCTACTGCTCCCCCCGCCTTCCTACATTTAAATAGGGTAGTAAGGGGGTATAATTCGAGGTCTAGCGTCCAGTTAGGGTGTCATTCGTTAGATAAATAAGGAGCACCGCGTATGTACCGACCCCGAAGACGACGCAGATAATTGCAATAAACTAAGGGTAGACAAGTTACAGTTGGCCAGGGTAAGAGAAAAGGCTGCTGTGCCCAAAGTGGTGGGAGAGTCTAGCTCTTTTGCTCATTAAATGGCTAGGAAAAAAGAATTCAAGAGAAAACAAAGCGAGAGATGAGTTTAGAGTTAAGCAAGGGTCATATCCCTTGTCATGCTAAATTTAAAATTTTAGCGTGGTAGCACATGCCTGTAATCCCAGCACACAGGAAGCTGAGGCAGGATAGCAAGGAGTTTGAGGCCAGCTTGAACTATGTAACAAGGCCCTGTCTCATAAAACCAAATAAATTCAAATTTCTCAACCTAATTCTATGGAAATGAGAAAAAGGTTTTGTTTTGAGACAGGCTCTTACTAAACTGCTAAACTGCCCAGGCTGTTCAAACTTCTCATCCTGCCTCACCCTTGAGTCCTGAAACTTCATCTAGGAACACTGTCTGATAAAATAGGACAATTTCAACACAATCATGAGTCCAAATAAACAGCACCTAGTCTGATCCAGGCCTTTCAGTTATAAGTCCTTTGAAGAGAAAGGCAATTTAAGTTGTATGTACAGATTTCTAGTAAGATCATGAAAAGAAAAAAGATTTACAATTCCACATGGCAATGACAAACACTAGAACATCTCATTTTTTTTTCTGCCTTTAGAACAACTGAGCATTCCAGAAAATTTCTACATTACCAGCTGTTCATACTTTTAACAATGACATTCTTTAGCTCATTTGGAAAAGATACTTCCTTTAAGTCCTTAATTCAGTATGAGGGCAGGTGAGTTGACAAAAACACTTCATATGGGGAAACATAAGCCTGACTGGGAAAAAATAAGATGTGAAGTGGAAGGCCAATCTATTTTCTTAGGAGAATTCAAGTGTGGTGTTATGTTGCCTTCTGCAGTTCACTAGAATATAGCAAATGCTTTCTGAATTGTCTGAATTAGCAGTACAATTTTCAAAAGCACCCAGTTAATAACTAGAAACTTTAAATCTCAGAATTTTCTATTGTGTATTTCATAATGATCTAGTAACTCTAAAATCAGCTCAAGTCTGTATAGGTTCTCACTACCCACAATGCATCAATTAGAAATCTTAAAACAGTTTAAGAATCTTGCATATTGGTTACACCTTTGCCTGTTTCAAAAGTTACCACCAATTCAATGAAATAGTCGTATTTGCCAATTTTTAGGAAAATTCATCAAAAAACGTTATAGGCTGTGTATATAAAATAACAACATATATGTCACATCCAGGTTAAAGTTTAGAAAACTAACTCGCAAGTCATTGGTTTGGTAAACAAATTTGAAACAGCTAACTCAAGGTGCATTTAAAGGATGGTGATAATTATGTCAGTTGTTTAGTTTCTGCTCTTGGATAAAGGTCATTACCCAGTATCAAGGATCTTACACTTGGTTTTCAACCTGCACTATCACTTTCTCAGTGTCCTCCACAAGCTGTTCTCCCCATATCAATCCTTGATTCTCTTTATATTCAATTTTTTGTTGATCTTTCCCAGTCTCATTACATGCCAGACTCCTTTACACTCTTAGCTTATATCCAACTACTTCTTGCCATAGAATAGACTACAGTTTAAAGAACAATTAACATAATCAGGCATGGTGGGGCATCCCTGCAATCCCAGCAGTCAGGAGGCTGAGACAGGACAATCAGAGTTCAAAGAAAGCCTACCATGCCAGGCAAGGAACGTGCATAAGTAATGTTCACTTGGTTCACTAGAGCAAAGACTGAGAGAATTTAGAAGTGGGATTAATAGAGCTATTGCTTCAAAAAAAGAAAAAGGAAAGAGCACTCTAGATAAAAGGAATCTACAGGTTTGTACATATTGTTTCTGGCTGGACCATGTCCAACAGGGGCTTGGAGTACTTAAAAGTTCAGTTTTCAAACAGCATTAGCCAGTTAGAATGGCTGTAGTGAAATATATATATCTTTGATTGACATATTCCTAGCCAGTGCTACTGTAGGGTGAAAATTATTTTTTCTTATACTTCTCTACAGTACTTGTGTTTCACAGACCAAATCTAAGCCCCCAAACTGACCTGTTCCGCCTGCATCCCTCTTCTTGGTTGATAAGAATTATAGTTGCTCAGACCAAATAGCCTTGGATTGGTACTGTCCTTACTCAGACCAAAAGCCCTTTCTCTAGAGCCCTGACCTTTAAGATTGTGTGCTCTAGAGTCGCAATGGGACACTTACTCTAGACTGTATTCCAGATACCCAGGACTCCCAGTGTGCTCCAGACTGTCCGAAGGAATTCAGTGCCACCATGGTGTACAGTGTTGTGCACAGGGGCTAGGCAATTTGAGTACGTAAGGCTCCACACAAATGTGCAGAGGCCTAGTTCAGAGTGAGGAGTGAAGAGAAAAGGTGTATGCATTGAAGATCAGCTCTGCTCACAAGTTACCTTCTGGCATAAAGTTAAACTTGACTTCCAGGTTCTTCCAAAAGGGTGTTATTTGTCAGAGAGATCTTATCAAAACTTCAAATGCAGTTTTCCCACTGTACTCCTGCCCAGGACTGCCAATATGCTAGAAGCATGACTGCCTTGCTGTAACCTCTCTCCTAATACATAAATCTGCACATTTAGTCAGGAATTCTCATCGGTTATTCCTTCAGATTACTTTTGAATTCTACTACCTCATTACTAACCTGACCCTAAATCACTTTCATCTCCCCTCTGAATTACTATAATGGCCTAACTTGTCTGATATACCCTTGTGCTATTTTCAACACAGCAGTCATTCCAGTCACATTTAAGACTATGCTCAAATGTCACCTTCTCAATGTAGCCTCCCCTGATTACACTACAACCATCTGATTCCCCTTCACTTATCCTATAGTATTACCTATTATCTACAGCTAAGCTTTTCCAGAAGGCAAGTATCATTTATGTTAAGATTTAAAACTACCAGAAAACTATTCACCTTAAAAACAAATTTCTTAAAATGCTTGTCATTTTCAGTAACACACCCTACTTTTGAAAACAAAATTATGAAAACTCCCAAAACTTGCAATACCAATTATTTGGTCTATTTTAAAATATGTAACTAGTACTATATATGTCAGGTCTGATTCTTAACTGCTGTTATATTCCATAGAGGCCATCTAAATTAAATTCTACATACCTTTTCCAAGTAATTTGTTACTGTGAGGTATTTATGTAAGCTAGTATTCTTTTGCCAAGTAGGAGTCAACAGTAATGAAGCTCAAGTTTTATTTAGCACTTAAATAGTTAAATACTTACAAGATTTAATGGAACTTAGTGAGAACTGAATGGAACAAAGGTAAAATGTCTTTCAAGAAATAGTTGAGGGCCGGGAATTTAGCTCAGTGGTTCTACCACCTGCCTGGAAAGCACAAGGTCCCTAGTTTGATCTCCAGTACCAAAATAAATAAAAGTAAAAAAAAAAAAAAATTTGAAAAGCCTCTATCTTACAAAAATGTTCTATCACCCCCAGCAGTACATAAAGCACAACCAAATCCATATGCAGAGTGACAAGATTAAATTACTTTCGTCAAACAGACCTATCTAGACTTTTGTGTCTGGCTACCCTTTCTGCCTAGCTGACGAATGCCTCCTAGTGACCAACTTGTGTAACACAACTGAATAGTATGGTTGCTTAGTTCTATAACCTTTTTATGGATCAAACAACGTTAGTAGTTTCTACCATTCCTGTGCCAGCAATCTAACTTCTCATTTCCCTCATCTAAACTATAAAGAACCCCAACCATTGGATCCACACTATTACATAGATTGTTATCTGATTTTCTCTTCTATATAGAAAAATTTCCCATCACCTCCCATCATATGGCATTCCACTTCCTTTTCCTGGCAAGGAAAATTCTGTACAGCATCTTGCACTAGTGATTAGTTTTTATTCCTCCCAGTCTTAAGTGAGTTTGTCCTGCATCTGCTTACACTGACAACTTAAAACTGAGTTGACTGCTACTAGAAATATTCAAGGCAAAAAGGCTGAAGACATCTTGATGTCTAACTAGAGGCTGGTGACGTGTTTTAGTTTTGAAGTGACAAATGAAAATGTAGGATGAATAAAGAGTAGGGTTTTGGCTTGTTTTAGCCCTAAATTTAAAACGAA